GAAATTTCTGTATTTTCTCTCAGATCAATTTGGAAACAGACAGTCACTCAAGTAAATACACCTCTCTTTTCCTGATTCTAGCTCTGCTCAAGACTCAGTTCACTAACTGACAATTAAATGCATTTTGTTGTGGGAAAGATAGCTCATGATGTGCCAAAATAAAAGGCTGTCTTGTTCTGTCAGCAAATCAGTTAATGGCCTGGGGTCTCCCCGATCTTCATACTTCATTTATAATGGACATATTCAACCTGGCTTTGTGTGATATTATTGTATTTTTAGTATTAAAAGAAAGGTTCTCTCCTTCTAGGCAAATTTTCCTGGACTTTTTAGATAGAACTTTAAAACTTGGAAACCTTAGCTTTAATTAAGGAACAATTTTAAACCTTTTCCTTACTAGCTTGTTGGATCATAACTTAACTATTGTATCTTTAATTAATTTTTTTATTTATTTATTTTAACTTAGTGCTGTATATTAATTTAATTGGGTGCACATAATGGACTGAAAAGAGAGAACTCACAAAGTTTTGACCTTTTTCTCTCTCTCACCAGTCAATGTTGTTGTTTGAAGTTAAGCACAAAGCTACACAATGGGCTATCTGTGCGCTGCCCATCACTGGTATCAAAACCCGGTTTCTAGCATTATAACTCCGCAGACATACCGCTGTGCCACTGAGGGGCCTCACCAGTTAAACAAACTCATTATAGACACACTTGCCCTTGTTTTGTCTTGAAGTAGTAATTGTCTTGACTTATTAATAATAACTATGGTGAACCTCTTGTGTTTTGACTCTTTCTTCATGATAAAATCTGAGATGTAAAGACACACACTCATAATTTGTTCTTCAAGCCTCCAGTTACCAGACCCTAACTAACTATTCTGCAGGAAACCTGCATAGTAGAAAATACCACATTTTAATTATTTTTCTTCTGTATTATCTGCTTTTTAATATAAAGATTATTTTGCATTTTTAGCTTAGTAATATTATTTTTACTGTGCCTGAATACATTGATTTGATTCACCTATTGTATGGTTTATTTTATTGCATTGTAAAATAACAAACACTAATGGTTGAAATAATGTGAAACTTTCTACAAATTATGTAACTTTTGGAAATAGAATATCATATTTCATACGAATATTTGTATGAACTTGTAGCTTTGAAAATTTGAAAAGATTTTATTGTTTTTCAAGAAAAAAATTAAAGATGCTTACCTTTGTTCTAGATTTCAATTACAGGTTTTGATGTATTTGTACATTCTTAAAAACTTTAATATAATTTTCAGTTTTCAAAACTGTAGATTTTTTCCTTGTTTTGATTTGAAAAATACTACACAGAGTTTCAATATGTTTACAATAACTGATGTAAAATAAAAATAACTTTTTTACCATACCAAAATTATGAGCACACCAACTTGTTTTAAAAGTTGTCAATCAAAAGGTTTCATTTAATATATGTAACAAGTTTTAAACTCGTTTTACATTCATTTATATATTTTATCTTTCATTTCAGTGGCTTTCTTTGCCCATTGATGCAGTTACTCAGGCTGATAAGGTATAAAGTAAACAAGGCATACTAACACAGTGGCCTTATCAGCAAGAAAAACCCGATACAGTCAAGTGTAAAATTATTTATTAATAAGCCTATATTACATTTTGTTCCAGGAAAAACGTGTCTTTTCCTATTATATATTTTAACATTATAATTCAAATGAAGAATAAAACAAAAATGTAAGTTTGACAAACTTTCTAAAAAATTAGAACTGTAATTCTGGCAGAAGTTGTTCACAAACATTTTTTTGTCTAGCAACATATCCCCAAGCTAAGCTTTTATAATTTTGTTCAAATATATATGTGTATCTCTGTTGAACTGGAAGCCATACTAGCTTAAGTAGTCAAAGAAAATAGAAAAATAGCTTTCATTAAATGCTTAGATCAGTAGCTCATGACCTTTTTGAAGCTGAGATATAGGCAGTTACATCACACTATGACAACCAAGATTGAGAAACAATGATTGGCTAAAAATTAATAACACTACCCTTGTATTTAAGTTAAAAGGTAAAATTATCACTATTTTGTTGAAAACTATTATGACTTTACCCCTATGGGGTTAGAGTATTGTAATGATTTTCTTGGAGTGCACTGTATTCAAACCCAGATCAAAATTATAATATATAATATTAAGTAAATAAAAGTTTTATATTGAATAAATTTCAACTCTAAAGTATTTTTAATGTGTAGAAAACTACTATAAGTATGTTTTCTATAATTAAATGCTACAATTTTGCCCTTCAGCAGGACATACTTATCCAGATATGACAGTTAATGTTATTGATTGCATTTGTGTACCACTGGAAAAAGGAGAGAGAGTTTCTTAGTTAAGGTAGTTCAAAAGACTTCAACTGACCAATAATGACACTGTTCACTAGCTTTTACTGCTAGCTTACAACTAATTATTAATAACTTCTGGTCAAAAGTAAGCTAACTAAGCCGATCAGAACTAAAAATCATCTAATATATTAATGGACCCTATCTGTCCTGTATCACCAACTTCTAGAGGTATATAATGTCATAAATCAATATGAAAACAAAACTACATGATTAAAATGCATTCATATTTTATTACATGTAACAATTTTCTCGGCCATAAAAACATTTTATCACAGGTAACAATAAAAATGTGTATACATATACAAATGTAACATATATATATATATATAGTTAAATTATAAGTACATACTAGCTGATGTATTAATTAAACATATAACTTCTAATACGGTACATTACCTCCTCTCACATGTATAGCTAGAATCCCACATTAAACAGGTGGAGGGACCAATGCGAGGGATAGAAATAAGCATCCTCCAAAGGCATCCGAAGAACACCCCAGAATTGTAATCTCTGTAGTAGAGGATCATACATGGGAGACTGCACCACTTCTGTACCAGTTAGACTCTACACCCAGTGTGGAAAGAGGTGTTGCATACACTGGTGGAAAAAAAGGGAGGAGCACAACAAAAATGGAGAGACAATTGGTTGGATTGGAAACCGAACACCATAATCTCAATCCTGTCGAAGAAACATATACAGACAGTAATGTGGGAGAAAGCTAAAATGGATTTGCTCCAAGATGTAGAGTGGTTAGCATGCAATGGGCCATATGTGCAGGTCAAATAGTCCCAAACCAATCAGTATGAGAAATATAACCTCTGATCCATGGTAGGAGGAGCGTCCACTCTGTCTTTACCTAGCAGATTCCACATGAAAGAGAAAGAATGGTATAGTTAAGTGGAGGAAAAAGGCTGTCACAATTCACAGAGGTTCAGCAGATTCAGGAGGAAGGCTAGCGATATCGAGAGAAGAGGTCAACTCATATAACAATCACTCTCCCTATGAATGAATGCCAAAATATCCTCATTCGAGATCCCTCGACTTGAAGCCTGTGTAATTGTGCTGGAAGTGGGTAGTAGAACCTCCGTAATGGTAATATGAACTTCAGAATTTATCATGTAATGATGAAGAATTGGAGTAAAAAAAAGGAACAACAGAGGTAAGTTATCACATAAAACTACAGAAATAAACTATAATAAAAATATTTCCACTTGGTATGAAATATTAAAGAAATAAAAATGCTTGAAGAGAAAACAATCAAAAAACATTTGCACTAAAGCACTGCCTAACGAGAAGTGTTAGTTAGGTAGAATCAAATAGTGGAAGTCACGTGCATTAATAAGGTGTGTCTCACTCCTATTTTGTGGAGGGTTGTTGCATAATGATCATGGGGTACAATGGAGTGCAGGGATTGTAGCATGCAAAAAAAGTTTTTCATATAGAGGGAAGTACTGAACAAGAATAGCTATATATGTGAGAAGAGGTACTGTACCTTATTGGAATTCTCCTAATTAAAGAGCGTTTAACATCACGTGACATTAGCTTAAGTAATTAGCATAAATAATGATACTTGATACAGCTGTACTGATTGCATAAGGGTGATGACAAGAAACTGTTAATCTACATTTCATGCCGTTACTATAAAGGAAACATTGTTTTAGAGAGAAAAAACTACCACCATATATTTTAAAGAACCTGGCTGGTTCTGTAAAGTAAAGGTATGTTCCAAATAATAGGGTTGCGGTCCAAAAGCTAATGTTGGTTACTATTGAGTATCAGTTTCTTACCTGCTGTGGTTTGTTGGTGTGTATTGACAAAAGGTCATGATATCTAATCAAAAACACCTTAAGTGTGAAAAAACGTACAACCAAAAGTACTTAAAGGAATGAAATCAAAATTGGTGGCCAAACTGGTAGTTACAGTTACAGCATTGATAATAATTAATTAGCTAGGCTGCATATTTTGTTTTACCCACCATCATGTCCCAAGTTGAACAAAAAACATGGCCTACCTAACTAATGAATGAATATTTGCTGTGAAATTCTTATCAATGCTGTAAGCGCAGATACCAGTTTGGCCACCAATTTTGGTTTCATTCCTTTAAGTTGCATGCTTTATCATTTTCTGGTTGCACCTTTTTTTCAGATCTAAGGTGTTTTTGATTACATGCTACTATGCAACAGAAATGTAATTTCCTAGTTTTTAATATTACTATAAAACAGAAATACTGTTTCATAGTTCTTATTCTACTATGTTAATTTTGATAGCTACTGTACAACAGAGACTTTATCAGCTCTTAATATTACTAGGAAAAGAAAGGACAGTACTGCTTGGCCTTAAAAATTATTGATAAAAAATTAGCACTCATAATATAAAAAGTTTGAGTTTTTTAAATATCTAAAATATGCACACTTCTAATAAATTGCTACTGGTATGATGATCTGTTTCATTCCCTGATATTGAGTATGCTTTAATATTTAAGTCACAGCTCACATCATAAGAAACTTCAAATATATGAGAGTAACTTATTCAGGAGATTATGACACATACAAGGTAAGACAGTTTTTAAAATTGTTGTTGAAGTAAACAATAAAGTACAGATGGTACTTACTTTAGTCCATAATTGTTTGAAAATGGGACAGATTGAGAAGATGGTGGTCTTGATGGTGATTTCATTAACTTCTGTTCAGGTTGTGGTGGATTTTCATACTCATTAGTAATTGGTTCTATAAAACAATCATTTTATGAATTGTGATTAAAAAATTAATAAAATAACAGACATAACTCTTTATCGTTTGCATATAAGCACGTAAATGGAACCAAAATAGTTTTTTTACTGAATAAGAATATAACACTGGTCAGTGACAGAAGACATGAGTAAAAACATTGATGTCATAAGAGTGATAGAATATAATGTTTTTTTTCTTACATCAGAGATATTGTTTAATTAAAACGATTAAGGACAGTGAATGACAAAGAACCACTGGTTCTTATCTGTTTTTTGAAATATGGACACTTTCTCTTACAACAGAATATTTCATTCGTTAAAAGTATAGAAATTCTAGAAGATACTCTAAATGTATCCAACCCATCTGAAATCTTAAAAAGTCAATAATCTAGCCAGTCTTTTTCTTCATAATTAAATAGCTTTGAATTCAATGGTGAATATTACATCAGTGCTGCTGTGAGAAACAAAATGGCTACTCTCACAGAAAATAAATATTAAACCTGAAAATAACATTGGTGGCATTTTTCTTTTGTTTTGATGGCTGGTGATGAATCATTTCTCTCTTTTTTTTCTTATGCTAACCCATTCCACAGAAACTCCAAAATCTAGTCTTAGCTAATCTTTCACCCCACTCCAAAAAGGGCCTTCTATACAATGACTTGCACAGAATATCAACAGACAGAACACAATAACTTCACTACAGAGGTTGCCATTCCATATGTACTAAGTGAAACATTACTTATAATCAAACAACCATCCAATCTAAATAATAGAAATATGATATGAAGGGAACCCATCCTGAAAGTTACAGGATTTTGCATGTTGAGCCACCGGAATTACAAAGAGAAGGCAAGCAACACCTAAGTGGACAAAAACTCACTGTAACCCAAAATGCAACAAACTCAAACTCAAAATTCTGGGCCCAGGCACTCGATCTGAAAGTTAAAGAATGATGCTTGAGAACCACCAGAATTACAAAGGGAAGGTAAGCAACATTCAACAGGACAAGTCTTACCCCCAACCTGAAGTAGCTCAGAATGCAACAAACCGAACTCAGAATTATGGAGCCAATTCACACTTCAATCAACCTGAAAGTTACAGAATGTTGCAAGTCAAGCCACCAGAATTATGAAGAAAAGGCAAGCAACATCTAAGTGAAGAAGCACAAAAATGCAACAAACCAAACTCAGAATTATGGGCACAGGCACCCAACCTGAAAGTTACAGAATGTTGCATGCAAGCAACCTGAAGTATGAAAGGAAAGCAAGCAATACCCATCTGGACAAGTCTTCCCCCCAACCTAAAGAAGCACAGAATGCAAGAAACTGAGCCAATTCATGCCTCACTCAACCCGAAGAAACAGAGATCCTCCAGCCTGGAATTACAAACCAAAATCCTAAATCCTCAACCTGGGAGGCAAGTTAAAACCTCCTGCCCCCAGAATTATGAGGGATATGTGGAAAAAACAAAGTGCAACCAATGGCTCACAAATGTAACACTCCACATGTGGAATTATGATGAGTTAAGGTCCCTCTTCCATGATCATGGAAAGTAAGAGAATGACCAAAAACAAGGGTCATGCTCACAAAACCACATAGTGAAGAGTCATCTCTGAATCAGAATTATGACCGGCTCTCCAACTAATATCTGGGAGCTATTGGAGATTTGTCACATAAAAGCCAGGGTGAAGTCGAATAATGCTGACTGCTGGATGCAAAAAGTCCAACCAAGGCTGATATAAGAGAGATGGCCAGGAAGGATGGGGGAAAAGGTGACATTCCTGAAGCTACTGGAGGAGTGGAAACCAAGGCTGACCCAGCCAATATCGTGCCACCAGAATAATTCGACAGGACATGGAGCAAATCAGTGCCAGAATCATGGAGAGCAGACAAATCAGAGGCAACACATAAAGATGAAAACCCAACCAATTCTGGCTGAGAGCTTCTACTCCCAAAGCCAGAGGGTGAGGTTCTGGAGACCATAAGGACAGGAGCTAAGCATTACAATGTGTGGTGGAAGCCTCAATCTGTGGAGTCACAAGATAAGCACATATTCAACGAAAAACTTGAGGAAGAAGCATCCATTTCATAGGAAGATCTCTGTTGTGATGAGATAACTGGTGAGCCATTAGGTTCAGTACCCTTGGAACATGAAAAGCAAGGAGAACAATTTTTTTTTTTGTAAGCCCAAAGGAGAAGATCCACTGTTCATAAACAAAGAGATCTGGAGTGAGTGCCCCTTGCTTTAAAAAGGATGAGACTATTGTGGAATTGTCAGATTGAAGCATTACTACCTTCCCTCACAACAAATCGAGACCCTAGACATAGCTTATTGAACTAATAAAAGTTATAAAAGACTGATGTGGAGAGAAGCTTTCTCTACAGTCTAAGGTTCCTAATATTCTATATTGTCTCCATATTGTGAATAGATGTATCTCTAGCCATGGAGGTGGTAAAAGGACACCTACAGTTGAGTTGTCCCTGCTCAACCACCAGCTGAGATCCAGCACATTGGAATCTGACAGTCTCACTGGACAATCCAGCACATCTGTGCAAATGTTCCACTAGTCCAGTAACAACCATTGAGAACACTTATGTGGCCCAACCTAATAGAAAGAGTGATTCCAAGGATACCCACATCTTCAAAAAAGATTGAACTGTGCATGCTGGTGGAGAAGGAGACAACTGTCTTTGAAAAACCACCTGTTCCACGGCCTGAAGGAGCAGAGGAGAAGGTTGGTCCCAGCTGAGTTTGAAATTGAAAAAAAAACCTAAATGTATGAGGTACTGTGTGAGAGTAATAATAGACTTCTACTTTTCGATAAAACAACCAGCTCTCACAGCCTCTGATAACAGAATCGAGTGTGCAGTTCTGTCAAATAGCAGGAATGGGTGAGAAAAAGCCAATTATTCATGTAATGGTGAGTGTGAATGCTGAGGGTGTGAAGATGATGCAAAAAAGCTCTGACTATCTGGCACAAAACATATAAAGCAGAGGCTAGGCTAAATGGCACAGCACAAAACTGAAAGACCTGGCTGTTTTGCACAAAATGCCTTGAAGACTCAGCAACAGGGATATGAAGTTAGACATCTGCAATGTCAAATTTTGTCACCAATAACCCGGGTGAAAAGAGCCACTGAAGAGAAAGAAATGACTCCATTGTAAACCGAGGAGGTTGAAGGCAGCGACTGAGACTAGAATGGGCAATGGCTGGTCACAAATCACCTGTCTTTTTCAGTGCTACAAACAGCCGAGAATAAAAAGCTTTGAGAAAGGAGGTGACAAGCTCTCTGGCCTCTTTGTGCAGAAGATCCTGGATGGCTTGTACTCGACAGTTGGATGTAAGACTGGTATAACTGGTATAAGAGACAGAGAAAAAGGAGATGTGGACTGAAAGCCCAATCCTCTCCTGAGAAGTTGAATGGCACACTGATCTGTGGTGACAGTCACCCATACAAACATGAACTCTCTGAGACAAGACACCACAGGGTCTGACCCCATAAGGCAGTCGCCAAAGCCAAAATCTGTGCTCCTCCCTGGAGTAGGATCCCTGCTGATAAGTTTGAAATTGACATTCATGGCACTGAAGCAGGAGGTCTGGAAACATGAATGGGAGATGCGGTAATCCTTCCTGTAGAAGAACTTTGGGACAGTTGAGAAGCCAATATAGAAAGTGAAGAATGTACATGGGCCACATCTACTCAAGATTCCATGGAGTCTAAAATTCCTTCAAAAACAGACTGTCTGAGGAAAGGAGCTTCTCTTAGATCCCTAAGAACCAATGCAGGGTGGCAAACTCCCTCCAGTAAGGCATCTTTTTCCAAAAGATCCCAGCAACAAACCAACCAAGATACCAAGGAGAGATCAGAGGCCTATAACCTGACCAAAGTGGAAATCAATAAATGACTAAGATCCTCCGAAATTTGAGTCCACTCTTGATCTCCCACAAACTCAACCTCAAAGCCAACAAGAGAAAAACATCAGACCGCATGTAAGTCTCTACCCCTCTGTGCATAAAGAACTGTATGTCTTCCGCAGAAGGTGCCCCACCCTCAACGCCCTGGTAACATTAGAATCATTAGTTGAAGATGGGCATCAGGCAACTCTGTGTCTGAGACGTAAATGTAGGTATTCATATTCGAAAAAAACGTCTTCAAATTTGTTTTTCATAAAATCAAGAAAATAAACAATAACCTCAAGCCCCAAAAAAAAGTTCTCAAATAATTAAAAAGAATATGTAGTAATAGTGCTGAATAGAAACCCACAGTAAATATGCAAGACCATGATCGTAATTTTTGCCATTGAGAAAAAGAATAACGAGGAGCTTGTATAAGAATCGAGTTTAAAGGGCACACTGACGTAGGTGGGGAGAGTCACAAGATTAAAATTACTAGGGGCGATATAGTGGGATAAAGACTGAAGCAAGCAAGGAAGAATTCATACCATTGCTTAGACGGGCAAAAAAGAAAACCTTTCGTCAGGATAAAGCTAAAATGTGAGATGAGGTAAGTGTATTTTGGAATACAAAGTACAAACAATTGTTATATCATTAGATCATTATTTTTCTCACTTTGAATTTTTAACCTTTATTCAAATCCTTATTTTTATGGACTTTGTAGTAGGTTCTAGTCTTTAGGTTTATTATGAAATTTCTATTTAATTTCTCATGTAGTCCCTTCTTATTTCTCTCATACTATTTAATTAATTATTTCCCCTTGTTTTATTAATTTATTTGTTTTGCATATTTCCTTTTCTGTGCACTAACCTTCTTATATTATATCAGAAACCACTGTTACAAAGCATACAATGTTCTGTTAAACTAACATACACATTTTAAACATCACTGCAAAAAAAGTATGTTAAGGATGATGAAAGTAATTCCATGGTCACAATGGGACTAGTTTCCATTGAAACAATTGATACGATAGGGGAAAACTTGGTTCACCAAAAGTGAAGTGATAAGGACAACCAGAACTTTGAGTAACTGATTCTGGGAAGTACTTCATTAAGAAATCCTGCAATATTTCTTTTAAAACCAACTTGCACATTTTCTTATTGTTAGGGCAGGTTTCTATACATACTTTTGATATTCCAGAAGACAACTGACTGCACAACAGTTTTTAACATCACTTGTTGTGTAACTGTAGACTGACCATATATATCATAAACGTTCCATTTCCTTAACTATATTGAATGTTTTTAAACAATGAAATCACTTTACAATATTTCATTTTCCTTTGACTGTAAAAATTTATATTTATAATCAATACAATGATATTTCTTTAAATTATTCCACTAAGCTATTACTATATAGTTTTGCTGATAATTAGTACACAACACAGATATAATTTAATTAATAAAGTCAGATTGCCTTAGAATATTTCACTTAGCTTTAAACACAAAATTCTGCTAGCACCCTTTTATTATACCTGGGACACTAGATGGAGTTGGCAGTGATTTTTCAGGCATATGCATATCTTGTCTAGACTTTGGGGACTGATGCTGCTTTTCATTTTTCACCTCTTCTACTCCCTGAAATCGAAGAGTGCGTGAACCACCTCTGGGATGACTGTTTTTAGATGGAGTTTGTTCTGGAGTATGCCTTCTACACAATATACATGAACAGCAATGTATAATATACATAAGTGTATGTGTGTGCAACCAATGCCATACTATAACATTGAATATATTATTAGTTTGCTATAAATGCTATCTGACAGTTATAACTAATTTCATATACTTATAGGAAAATATTAAAAATTCTAAATTCAAAATAAATAATTTATACTCGTAATAATTGCCAAATTCAGGCTATATAAATAATGTCTGAATAATACTATTAGAAGTGTAAGGCATTAGAATATTTGTATCTTAAACATGAAAAGCATTAAAAAACTAATCACGTATATGTGACTGAAGAATATCATCACTTTCATGAAACATGATATCACAGTTCATGGCAATTTTTTTTATTTTCAAGTACAGTTCATCAAATAAAGCAAAGAAGCTCATTTATGGAAATAGTATACATAATAAGTTTAGTAAAACTTTTTTGAAGAATGGCTCAAACAATATACAGATGTAATTAATGTTATAAATCATTTGTTTCAGTTAAATAATGTACAATCTTTCATCATTAAAAAAAATTACTATTTTAAAAAATAATTAGATGGTCTTGTATTTTTCTAAGTAAGCTACGTTTCACAGACCTACATTGGGAGATCTTGTAAGATCATCAGTACTTATGACTTATTAAGAACCTCCAACAAATCTGATTAACCTGAGTTATAAAAACCATATGTAACTTAACAAAATCACTAGTATTTATACAACCTAATGAAGTAAACTGGTGCACACCTTTAAAGATATTCCAAATACCATGACTTAATTTCTAATACTAAAAAAATTAATTCCTTTTATCAAAACTTACTGACTTCTATATTACTGTGTTAAAACAAATACAACAGGCAATATACTTGATATACATATATATATAATTTCTTAGACTTAATACACTACATATAAACCTAAAACTGGAAGCTTCAATTCCATGTGTAGTTGTATAAATTTCACAGGCTGATTCTCATAGTTAACCAGTACAAAAAATTATTATTTTAAACTGTGGCAATAAAGGTTGCTTAGAATTATATATATATATATATATATATACATGGATAATTCCAATATCTTGGTTTGTACCTTAATTCTATTCACAAGTCCACCTAGACCATGTCATAAAATTATTTAGTATTATTCTGTTTTCCATGAGGACTGCTATAATCTTAGTTTACAACTAGTTCATTTTATGTCTACCTAGAACATAATAATAAGGGTAATGTAAATTTGTGTATAGCCATTAGAACTATTTAAATATCTTAATCTGTAAAAATAGTTAATTTCACATTTCTACATACAACATACTATTTGCAATAGTGATGAGAAACATAAAATATTTTAGTCTGTAAACATGAAACAAATGTAACATAAAACCAGGTATAATAACTATTTGAAACTTGAATACAAATGTCTTACTTTTTAATCCAGTAAGACATGTAATAAAGGTAACTTACAATAGTGAGTATCATTGAAATATCTTAGTACATATTTCAGTTTCATACAATCACTTTGAGCATATAATAGAAATAGCTTATATTTATCAAAGAGCCAAGATGTTATTCAGGTACTTCAGGTAAGCAGCAGAAGTGACATAACAAACAGAAAAACTTTGGACTTTAGTATAACAACTCACATCTCCTTTCCCACATCACCACCTCCTTTTGGTGTTCTTGGTGTACTTGGACGCTGAGGTACCACTTCAGTATTGGATAAATCCTGTGAAGAAACTCAAATGATCTAACTATTTCATTTATCTCCAAGAACAGTTAATCATATGCCAGAAAATATAAGATGAAGCTTTCCACAAAACGACAATGTAGCTTTAAATGTCTTCTTGTCAGGAATTCTTCTGATGCAAGTTAAATCATTGAACTAGCAATTAGAATGCCCTAAAGATACATTTTGTAAAAGGTAAAGGTATATTTAAACAGTGAGTGTTAAAATGACTCAAAAATAACATTAAATAAAATATAGGTTGGCATAGTTTTAAGATTATTTAGCAATTAAAAAAAATCGAAAAGTATTTTATGAATGATTCAACTAACAAAAGTTGTAAGTTCACACTTAAACATATAGCTTATAAGCAGAAAAGGTTTTTACATAAAAAATATTGCAATAATTAAACATATACACAAGTTTAAAAAAGAAAACAAAAGTACACATTTTACTCTGTGCCAGATTAATGCAAGGTTGACAAAGCTGCAGCCCTGAGATTCCACCAACCTTGAATATTTTTTTTTAAATAGATACAATTTTATTAATGGGCCACTGAAATAAATTAGTCCTTGGGGACCCAGTAGGCTTAATCTAGCCTTAATTTTAGTACATGAAAAGCAGACAGAAAAACTATCAAATTTAGATGATAACTAAGATAATAAACTTTAACTTCAAACTAGGGAATGAAGATAACAAACATTCAAATAATTTTCAACATTACCATAAAACATTACATAGGCCTGTGATGGTTTTATTGTCTTGAAATGTTTAAATGTCCTACAGTAATTCCTGTATGCTGAATCCGAAAATGATATCCATACAGATCCATGTACAGATTGTTCACAAAAAGTCGTATTTACTTTAACATAAGAGAATCATTTTCATTGAAATCAGATCACAATTTTTTATGTTTAAAATGTTGACAACCACTGGCAACATAAGAGTCTTAACTATTGTTCTAGAACACACAAGAAACACACCGCTAGTATACAGTTAACAGGCTGCATGATGTGTCATTTCTGTATATTATTTATTTGCACGTGCACTTTGAAATTTTTCTTTTCAATATTATTTATCCATTGCTATGGCAATAAGAGGTTGTGTAAATGACCCGAACATATTCTGTTATATTTGTGGTAAATTTGTTGTAAAGACACAAAGGCAAAACATTACAGAATTTGCCAAAAAAAGCATATTACACATATTTTGGAATAAAACTTGGGGACCAAAACAAATCATGGGCTCCATACAAAGTTTGCACCATTTGTGTCGAGGAGTTGAGACAATGGACTAATGGTAAGAAAACAAACGTCTTTGCCTTTTGGAATTCCAATGGCATGGCATGAGCCTAGAAACCACAGAGATGACTACTATTTTTGCTCATGTAACGTACCAGGCTACAACACTCAAAATAACAAGGAAATTTCTTATCCAAACCTTCAATCTGCTATAAGACCTGTTGCTCATGGACCTGATGTACATGTACCTACTCCACTGGAGACTCTTGATACAGTTTCATCTGGTTCTGAATCTGGTGTCAATAGAAATGATGATAGGGATTGTTTTCAACCTGAAACATTTGGTGAATCACAACTTTCCACACAAGGTGAACTTAATAATTTGGTGAGAGATTTGATCCTTCCAAACGATTCTTCAGAGATTTTGGGGTCCAGACTTTGGGCTAAGAACTTACTTTCTCTAGGGACATCATTTTACTGGTCCAGAAATCATGAGAAAGAGTTTATACTATACTTTTCACAAGAAGGTTCACTGGTTTATTGCAACAATATTGCTGAATTAATACCAATGCTAAAAGCTGCAGTCTATGAACCAAGTGAGTGGTGATTGTTCATTGATTCCTCCACAAGAAGTCTAAAAGGTGTTCTCCTTTACAATGGTAACATTTGTGCATCTGTTCCTATTGCTCATTTGGTTTACTTAAAGGAAACATACAAAAATCTCAAAATTCTTGTTAATAAGGTCAAATACAAAGAACATGGTTGGCTACTTTGTGAAGACTTAATTTGTTGGATTAACAAGCTGGTTATACATAGTTTCCATGTTTTTTATGTGAATGGGACAACAGAGCACGAAATCAGCACTGGATAAAGAAGCAACGGCCACAAAGAGTCAGCCTGATACTAGGATCGAAAAACATTGAACGGGAAAGTTTGGTTGA